AACGTAAATTCTAGTTTGTATATTTCGCCATTTGAAATCGCTGACACCAACATCGGTTTAAAAATGGCGCTCTCCAATAAATAATAGCGAAATATATAAATGTGTACATGTTATATGCGTCATATTACGATATTGTTTTACATATCCCATGACGTTTGCAATATACAGCGGAGTCATAGCAACGATAAAATAAAAACCAATCTAACATGGACTTTAACCTTTATTTCTCATCCTTTTCCCCCCTCCCTACCTCCCCCCCCCCTTGCTAATCCTGACGCATCTGCCTTTCCCTCTCCTCCTAACTTCACCTATCTTTCTCTCACTTCCCTTTCCCCCTTTTCTCTTAACTTTTCCTATCCCCTCCCCCTTCCTGTTTCACTTTTTTTCCTTTCCCTTTTTTCCTCTCCCCTTTTTCCTTTCCCTTTCCCCATCCCTCCTTTCTTCATTCCCTCCTCCCCCCATCCTTTATTCCCTTTCCCCTTCCTTCCCCCTCCTTCCCTCCTTCCCTCCTTCCCTCCTTCTTCCCTCCTCCTTCCCTCCTCCCTCCCTCCCCCTTCCCTCCTCCTTCCCTCCTCCCTCCCTCCTCCCTCCCTCCTCCTTCTTTCCTCCCTCCCTCCTCCCTCCCTCCTCCTCCCTCCCTCCTCCCTCCCTCCTCCTTCTTTCCTCCCTCCTCCTCCCTCCTCCCTCCCTCCTCCTTCCCTCCCCCTTCCCTCCTCCTTCCCTCCTCCTTCCCTCCTCCTTCCCTCCTCCTTCATTCCCTTTCCCTCCTTCCCTTCTCCCTCCTTCCCCCCGAACACAGGGCCCTAGGCTACGAATCAACCATCCAACTGCAGCTGACGCCTTCTGTGATCCCCGAAACACTGCGCAGGATATACCTCAGGATTACCATCGAGGGCATCCTGTTCGAAAAGACCTTTGAGGCGGATCCTGATATTAAGTTTACCTACGCGTGGAACAGACTCAATGTATACAGGTGAGTGTGGGTCATTTGCATGCAGGTGAGTGTGGGGCGAGGGCGGGTGGGATAGGGTGGGGGTGTGTGAATGTGGGTGAAGATGAGGGGGGGGGAGGGGGTGGCGTGATTGAATGTGTTGGGGGTGAGGGGAGAGAGAGAGAGAGAGAGAGAGAGAGAGAGAGAGAGAGAGAGAGAGAGAGAAAAAAAATGAATAAGATAAAAAAAAATCTATATTGATAAAACATATACCCAACTCTTGTTGACAAATATAGAAAAGGTGTGAATTGAGAGTGAATATCTTCACAATAAAAATAGATGCATCTAACCGGTTTCCACTATATCTTCGAAACCGTTCAAATACATCTCTCGTATCGTGAAGATATTCATTCTCATTCATACCTGCATCTAGCCAGTACCCCCCCCCCCCCCCACCACCACCGTCCTTACTCCTCAACAAAACTGACCTAACTTAACCCCTTGACCTGCAGGCAACGTGTTTACGGCGTGACCTGGGCGGTGGTCAAGGTCGGCTTCGCTTACAGCAACTGCGACCAGGTCATCTGGGACGCGCAGACAACCCAGGTCTCGGGTCATGACATGAGTATCTCAGACATCGGCGGCTGGGACCTGTCCATCCACCACAGATACAATTTCCATGAAGGTGAGAGGCTGGTCATGGTTATGAAATGCTATTATTAGTGTTGTTATTATTATTTTATTATTGTTGTTGTTATTATTATTTTGTTATTGTTGTTATTATTACTGTATTATTATTGTTTTTATTATTATTTTGTTGTTGTTATTATTACTGTATTATTATTGTTTTTATTATTATTTTGTTATTGTTGTTATTATTATTTTGTTATTGTTGTTATTATCATTTTGTTATTGTTGTTATTATTATTTTGTTATTGTTGTTATTATTATTTTGTTATTGTTGTTATTATTATTTTGTTATTGTTGTTATTATTATTTTGTTATTGTTGTTATTATTATTTTGTTATTGTTGTTATTATTATTTTGTTATTATTGTTGTTTTTAATATTAGTAGCTGTATTTTTATTTTTTTGTGTTGCTGTTATTATCATTATTACCATAAGGACTAGTACTATTGCTATTATATTATCATCATTATGGATTATGTTAGATTTTCATTTTCATGCCAGAGTATACACACACACAAAACAAACGAACAACACAAATTTACAAGCAAACAAACAAACAATTTTACACGCAAACAACATAAATTTACAAGTAGACAAACAACATAAATTTACAAGTAGACAAACAACATAAATTTACAAGTAGACAAACAACATAAATTTACAAGTAGACAAACAACATAAATTTACAAGTAGACAAACAACATAAATTTACAAGTAGACAAACAACATAAATTTACAAGTAGACAAACAACATAAATTTACAAGTAGACAAACAACATAAATTTACAAGTAGACAAACAACATAAATTTACAAGTAGACAAACAACATAAATTTACAAGTAGACAAACAACATAAATTTACAAGTAGACAAACAACATAAATTTACAAGTAGACAAACAACATAAATTTACAAGTAGACAAACAACATAAATTTACAAGTAGACAAACAACATAAATTTACAAGTAGACAAACAACATAAATTTACAAGTAGACAAACAACATAAATTTACAAGTAGACAAACAACATAAATTTACAAGTAGACAAACAACATAAATTTACAAGTAGACAAACAACATAAATTTACAAGTAGACAAACAACATAAATTTACAAGTAGACAAACAACATAAATTTACAAGTAGACAAACAACATAAATTTACAAGTAGACAAACAACATAAATTTACAAGTAGACAAACAACATAAATTTACAAGTAGACAAACAACATAAATTTACAAGTAGACAAACAACATAAATTTACAAGTAGACAAACAACATAAATTTACAAGTAGACAAACAACATAAATTTACAAGTAGACAAACAACATAAATTTACAAGTAGACAAACAACATAAATTTACAAGTAGACAAACAACATAAATTTACAAGTAGACAAACAACATAAATTTACAAGTAGACAAACAACATAAATTTACAAGTAGACAAACAACATAAATTTACAAGCAGACAAACATCACGAATTAAAAAGCAAACAGACAAACAAAATTACAAAAAACGGACAAAAAACAAACAAACACCTCCACCCCCCCCCCGCCCTCCTCACACCCGCAATCCCTCCTTCAGGAATCCTGCAGAAGGGCGACGGGCGCAACATCCACCTGAAACAGAAGCCACGAGTCCTGATGACACTGATGGGCGATGGGCACCAGAGGGAGGTGTCATGCAGGTCATGCGACGGCCCGGCTGACAAGCAGAGGCTCCTGACGTCAGCTGCCCTCGCCCCAGGCCCTGACGGCTCGCTGTACATCGCTGACTTCAACCTCATCCGCAGAGTCATGCCTGACAACACCGTCAAGACCGTTGTGAGGCTGAAGTGAGTCGGGCTTGGGGATGGGTCGCTCTCGCTCTCTCTCTCTCTCGCTCTTTCTCGGTCTCTCTCTCTCTCTCTCTCTCTCTCTCTCTCTCTCTCTCCTCTCTCTCTCTCTCCTCTCTCTCTCTCTCCTCTCTCTCTCTCTCTCTCTCTCTCTCTCTCTCTCTCTCTCTCTCTCTCTCTCTCTCTCTCTCTCTCTCTCTCTCTCTCCTCTCTCTCTCTCCTCTATCTCTCTCTCTCTCTCTCTCTCTCTCTCTCTCTCTCTCTCTCTCTCTCTCTCTCTCTCTCCTCTCTCTCTCTCTCCTCTCTCTCTCTCTCTATCTCTCTCTCTCTCTCTCTCTCTCTCTCTCTCTCTCTCTCTCTCTCTCTCTCTCTCCTCTCTCTCTCTCTCTCTCTCTCTCTCTCTCTCTCTCTCTCTCTCTCTCTCCTCTCTCTCTCTCCTCTCTCTCTCTCTATCTCTCTCTCTCTCTCTCTCTCTCTCTCTCTCTCTCTCTCTCTCTCTCACTCTCTCTTTCTCGCTCTCTTTCTTTCTCTCTCTCTCCCCCCCTCTCGCTCTCTCTTTCTTTCTCTCTCTCCCCCCCCCTCTCTCTCTCTCTCTCTCTCTCTCTCTCTCTATCTATCTATCTATCTATCTGTCTATCTATCTATCCAGCCATCTATCTATTTATCTATCTACCTATCTATCTATCTGTCTGTCCATTTCTCCATCTGTGTATCTATATAATTTCCTTTCTCCCTCAACAATAGATATCATTTTTTGTCTTTATCGTTTTTTTTACGATAAAGATATAACAATATGGCATATAGATATAACAATGTATATAAATCCCCCAACTCATCTGTCGTCCATTCTTTAAATTCATGACATATTTGATTTTAAACTCGAGTCGTTCCATGAGCAGCGCCCTCTAACCCCCCCCCCCCCCCCCCGCAGCGAGACGCGCGTGTCCTACCGCTACCACATGGCCGTGAGCCCTGTGACGGGCGAGGTCTACATCAGCGACCACGAGGCGCATCTCATCCTGAAGGTGCGCGACCCCGACGACTTCTCGCGGCCCGAGGACAACTACATGCCGTACGTGGGGTCCGGCGAGCGCTGCTTCCCCGGCGACGAGGTGGGCTGCGGCGACGGCTCGCTGGCGCGCGACGCCAAGCTGCAATACCCGAAGGGCATGGCGGTGTCCTTGGACGACGTGCTCTACTTCGCCGACGGCACCAACGTGCGCGCGGTGGACGCCGACGGCATCATCAACACCGTGATCGGCACGCACCGCCACCGCGCGCACTGGCGGCCGCTGCCGTGCGAGGGCACCGTGCCCGTGTCGGAGGTGAGCCTGCGCTGGCCCACGGCGCTGGCCGTCAGTCCGCTCGACGACTCGCTCTACGTGCTCGACGACCACCACGTGCTGCGCCTCACGCGCGACGGCCAGATCAAGGTGGTGGCGGGGCGGCCGCTGCACTGTCCTCCGCTCAGCCACGACGCGCCGTCGGACCTGGCGGCGCACACCACGCTGCGCTCGCCGCAGAGCCTGGCCTTCGCGCCCAACGGCGACCTGTACATCGCCGAGAGCGACAACGAGCGCATCAACCGTGTGCGCGTGATCGAGACGGACGAGCGCATCCACGACTTCGCCGGCGCCGATTCCAAGTGTAACTGCCAGGAGGAGGCGTGCCCGTGCTACGACGAGTCGCACGTGCTGGCAGCGACGGCCGTGTTCTCGACCATCTCGGCGCTGGCCGTGACGCCCGACGGCGTGGTGCACGTGCTGGACCAGGGCAACCTGCGCATCCGCTCCGTCACGTCGTCCATCCCCGAGCCCAACGCCGAGCGCCTCTACGAGATCTACTCGCCGGAGACGCAGGAGGTGTACGTGTTCAACCGCTTCGGCCACCACACGGCCACGCACAGCATCCCCACGCGCCGCACCATCTACTCGTTCGCCTACAACGTCAACACGAGCAACGGCAAGCTGTCCACCGTGACGGACGCCGGCGGCAACCGCGTGTCGTTCCTGCGCGACTACACGGGCCACGTGTCCATGGTGGAGAACTCGCGCCAGCAGAAGTGCCGCCTGCAGATGTCGCGCTCGCGCTTCCTCGAGTTCTTCGTCACGCCCGACGAGCACAACGTCACGCTCACCTACCACGGCGCCTACGGCCTCCTGCGCTCGCGCATGGACTCCACGGGCCGCGCGCACGTCTACACCTACGACACCTACGGCCGCCTGACCCGTGCCGTCACACCCTCCGGCCAGGTCATCGATCTGGCCTTTGACCTGAGCCAGAAGGGCGCGCGCGTCACGCTGACCCGCGACGGGACGGCGCCGATCACCATGCTTATCAAGGGCGCCCTCGTCACGGAGACCATCGGTGAGCACAAAGGCTTTTTGAGGTAGACTTAGACGGGAGGGCTTCAGGGAAACGCACTGGGCATGAGGGGGGGGCAGACTAAGTTTCATGAAGGCATAACAATGCAGGCTTTGGTAGCAACAGCGCATAGCTCGGACACAACTCAGGATACTCTGTTATGTGGAATGATATTCTCTTTTCATTCATTGCATCAACATGTATGTGTGTGTGTGTTTGTCTATCTTTGTACATACAATGTGAATACGTCTTTCGTGTCAATTTTACCTCTAGTTATCTCCCAACGATACAGCCTTCACTCGCAACCTTGCAGGTTCTGCCTCGAGCGTGACGGCGCAGCTTCCCGACGGCTCCGTCGTGACGCGCACCGCCTGGGGGCACCACATTGCCACCGAGACCGTGCCCTACACCCTCCTGCAGGACCACACGCTCGCGCACTCCTACCCCGTCTCTGGCAGGCAGCGCACTGAGATCGGCAATGAGCTCGTCAACAGCTTCGACTGGAAATACTTCGTGGAGGCTGGAGATCGCCAGGGACCCGTGACGCAGGTGAGAGCTTTGCGAGGAATCGGACGCAGGCGGGGATACTGGAAACACACACACACACACACACACACACACACACACACGCACACACACACACACACACACACACACACACACACACACACACACACACACACACACACACACACACACACACACACACACACACACACACACAAACTTACACAGTGTTTATTATGTATTCGAATACTGAAGATTGTAACAGATGTATATAATATAAAATGAACTAATAGATAAATAGAGAGAGAGAGAGAGAGAGAGAGAGAGAGAGAGAGAGAGAGAGAGAGAGAGGGAGGGAGAGGGAGGGCATCACCCCACTAACCCCCCCCCCCCCCAAACCAACAGGTGGGCCGCAAGATGAGGGTGAACGGCGAGGATCTGCTGACCTTCAAGTACGACCTGTACACCGGCACGGAGGCTGTTCTAAACGAGGTCGGGGCCACGCTGCTCAACGTGACCTATGACCCTCTCGGCCGCCCGCTCAAGTGGACGCCCGCGCAGCCCTTCCTGCCGGTGCAGCTCAAGTACAACCGCTTCGGCCAGCTGGAGGAGTGGACTTGGGGCGACATGAGGGAGCAGTACTCCTACGACCGCGCCGGCAGGTACGAGGGCGTCACCTACGCCGACGGCACGCGGATCATGTACTCCTTCAAGGACCTGTCCAGCGTCAAGGTAAGATTGGGATGAGCCGTTCGCCTTGGACATAATGTTATGGCAATGCAGTATTAGGTAACGTCGGTGTATTTAATTCTTATATATCCATTTTATTTTATGATTCCAAACCTTAATCCCTGCGCCCTGCCCCCCGCAGCCGTACAAGGTGAGCGTGGCGTCGGGCAGCGAGCACCTTCTGGAGCACGACGAGGGCGGCGCCCTGTCGGCCGTGACGACGCCGCGCGGCCACAAGTACACCTTCCACGTGCAGCCTTCGCTGCTGCACAACCGCTTCAGCTTCACGCCGCCCGGCTCGCCTCGCCACCCGTACCAGCTCTTCTACAGCGACGACGGCAAGATCCTGGCGGAGGTGCTGCCCCACCAGGCGAGCCGCGTCATCTACCACCACGACAACACCGGCCGCCTGCACCTGCAGATCTTCGGCGACGGCTCCGTGGAGTACGGCTACCACCCCGAGACCGGCCTCATCCGGACCGTGTCGGTGCGCGAGCGCGGCTTCGAGCTGCGCAGCGACAACAGGTACCACGGCGGCCTCGTCAAGGAGCAGCGGATCCGCTACGGCTCGACGGCCGTCCTCGACTCGGCCAAGCTGCGGTTCCTGTACGACGGCAACGCTCGCCCGCGCCGCGTCGAGGTCGAGATCAACGGCAAGGAGCAGCCGGACTACGACATGAAGTACAACATCATCCTGGGCACCCTGGACAGCGTGGGCGACATGAAGGTCACGTCGTCGTACCACAACAAGACCGTCATCCAGGACGTGCGCAAGATCATGCTGCGCGTCACGGAGTTCGACCCGCACGGCCGCGTCGTCGAATCGGCGCTCACCGTGCGCAGCCGCCTCGTCTACCGCAACCGCTACGGCTACGACACGCGCGGCCGCCTCGCCACCATGTCCACGTGGCGCGGCCCGGGCACGGACGAGAAGCGCACCAACTACACCTACACTCCCGACGGCTTCCTGCAGGCCGTGGACGGCGCCGACTCGTGGCAGTTCCGCTACGACGCCAACGGCAACATGATCGCCGTGGTGGAGGGCGGCCGCGAGATGACGGCCACGTACGACGGCGCGGACCGCCTGGTCGGCTGGGGCGACGTGGAGCTCAACACGTACTCGCCCGGAGGCGCCGTCGTGCGCCAGGGCGAGGTCCACCTCAGCTACAGCGCCAGGGGGAACCTCAAGTCCGCCTGGCAGCAAGGCCAGTACAAGGTGTGGTGCAGGCACGACCACCACGGACGCCTGGCGGTGTGGGAGGACGACCACGGCAATGTGACGCAGTTCTTCTACGCCGACCTGCGCCGCCCCGACCTCCCGACGCACATCCACTACCCGAAACGCGGTGTGACACATGCGCTAGAGTACGATGAGCGCGGCCACCTCATGGCCATCCACACGGGCAAGCGGCGCCTGTGGATCGCCACGGACCACCTGGGCTCGCCCGTGGCCGTGTTTGACGACTCAGGCGTTCTGGTCAAGGAGGTCGTGAGGTCTCCGTGGGGCGCCACGCTCACCGACTCCCGCCCCGACCTCCTCCTGCACGTGGACTTCCAGGGAGGCCTTCGGGATCCCGTCACGGGATTCATCGTCTTCGGCCTCCATACGTACGACCCCGTGCATGCCATGTGGATGGCTCCGAGGTACGACCTGGTCACCAGCGCCCCCGACCACGTTGGGGCCGTCTACGTGCACCGCTTCCACGACAACGACCCCGTCAACCCGATCAACCGACACCCCAACCACTA